GTGCACCGGGATTCCACCAGTCTTGCGGGGGTCCCCCGGATCTTTCCAGCGGGTTTGCGCAGCACTATCCCGGTACAGTGTTGGGGGGAAGTGTTCCGAGTCACTTGCCTTGACTTCGCATATTTTACCCTGTCCTGCCACCTTCTGGGCCTTATATAATTTTCTTTAAACATTTTTAAATTGGATTTTCTACGAGATGACTTAAGTGTTAGGAGCATACATTTGTCTTGCAATTGATGTTGGTCTTTCAGTCTTACAATGAATATGTTCCACTGTGTTGCTTTACCTGCAGCACAACATATCTGTTTTTCACATGTCAGGGTTTTTTTATAAATAGCCTATCTTTTGCTGGTACTGATTATTTCCAACAATAGGTGCAGATCTTATGATTTGGTTTCATTTTATTTTCCTTTGTGAGGAGCACTAAATCACTGAACTCATATTCTCTAGTTCTTCTGCTGCTGCTTACTGTATACTGGGAACTTATATGGCAATACTTTAAAAACAAACTTAACCAGCTACAGAATATAATTGTCAGAAACAGTGTGCCCACTTTATTTTTCTTTCTCCCTTTTGCCTTTTTTAGATAACAGTTTGGGGCCTACATAGGCTCTGGAACCCTTTTAAGTAGCATTGCATGTGAAAAAATATATATATATAGCCTAGAAGACAATGAATAACTGTTAATAATTTATAAAACCACTAGCTAACTATAGCAAATAGGGTATTAATTATTGGTTAAAAATTCTGAAAGCATACCTTATAATTTTTCTTAATTGTTTTACCTGTTCGTTTAGGTTATCTTCATTTATATTTTTTGCAATTTTCTTCTCAGCTTCTTTCCTTTATAAATTATCAGCGTGGAGACCATTGTCTGTGCATTTATCTGGTTGGTTTCTTCAGTGCGGTTTGTTTGATGGGTTGTTTTGGTCTCTGCTTGTCGGTGTTTCGGGGGTTTTGGGTGGCTTTTTTTTTTTGTTGTTGTTTTTTCAGAAAATCTGCATGAAAATAATTTTATATGCGGATGAAGTTCTGATTTGTATGTTACGAACACTAAGTTGACCTCTTTATGTTTCATCAGTGAGGATTACTGTTGAACATGCAAAATGTGAGCATAGCAGCTGCAAACTGCATTTCAAATTCCCCTCATCTGCAGCAAACAGCAGAAATCAGTATGAAGTGGCTGCCCTGGGCTTTGTTCCTGTGTATGCCTCTAAACCCTCAGAGCTTGGGCTGTTACATAGTAACAGGAATTCTGCTAACTGCTATCAATGGAGTTTGGGAACTTTATGAACTGATTTTGCCATATGGAGGAAAAGTAAAAAAATTCCACATGGGTTAGGAATTTTGCAAACATTTTTGACTTTCCTCACTACACTATACCAGAATGTTATCTGCTTGTGTCATATCTGGAGTTTCTAAAGGGCAATAACTTTGAGTTGCTTTGGACAAGAAGGCCTCATTCCCATCCTACCCTTACAATTCAGGAAGGAGCTCTAATATGGTTGTTACAAAACCACTGTAGGTCACATCCTTCTTCCATCAGCTTTGGGAATCTGTGACCTGGAAAATGATTCTTTCTCACCCATACTTATTAGTAGATCTATACTGTTGACTAAGCATAAAACGACCCTTCTTATCATTCTCATCCTTTTGCCAGCTTTAATAGCAGCTTTTAGGTCTCATGCTGTGTCAGAAACTGCTATTGCTCCACCCGAGAGAAAATGAAAAATGAAAAGTTACAATCCATTTGAGCTTCTTCAAGCTGAGCAGCAGGGTTTCTATCTTCCCAAGAGTGTTACTGGACAAAGGCTGGAAGACAGAGAAATAGTTTTCATTTGTATTTGAATGGTGTTTCTGTGATTTCAACACTGATCTATTTCCTGACAATGAGGCATATTTTTTGCATGAGAAAAAAAGAAATAAATTTGATATGTCTTTCAAATGTGGATTACAGACTTTTTGAACATTTTGTACTGCATAACCCACGATGAACCTTGCCCTATATGCAGAAATTCTAAGACAAATAAAATAAGCTTGCCCTACAACCAAGCCAAGAGCCTCACCCTTGTGGAAACCACAACTCCTGGTGAAGAAATTAGCTGTTATTCATTTACACATGGGATATTGAAAATACTGAATCAACATTTATTATAGGACATTTTGACTTTAATTAGTCATTCAGGAAAATAAATGTCAGTAGCCACAGAGGAAAGCAATGGGAGCCTATGACTCTTTTAAGCAGAAAGAATCAGTGATTCATGATTTACTGAACAGTAGGACACCTGTGCTTGGCATCAGCTTTGAAATTTTTTATTAAAACACGGGAAAACAATCATTTGGTACTACCTACCCCATTCCTCTTTGGAATAGGAGCAAGGGGAAATGTTTGGTTTCTGTAAACAATCTGCATAAATTTGAATTCATCCAGAGCAGGTGTGGGATTTTAATGCAGAATCGGAACTCACCACATTTTCCTGTCAACGGCTCCTTTTTTTTAATTTTTTTTTTCTAGTCACCTCTAAAAAAAAACTCTGGGTAGAATCTCTGCAAAAGCCTGTGCTACTCCATAAACATGTTTCCTGGAAGGAAAGTCACAGCATTTTAAAAAAAATATTTCAGTATTACTACTGACACTTAATGATTCAGAAAATGAAGGGAAAGTGAATGGAGTGATGATACCCAAATACAACTTCTACCTGAAGAAACAGGAGAATATCAAAGTCTGGAGAAGCCTTCCTGCTATACCTGTGTTAATTGCACCAAGTTGTTAATTTGAGCACTTGATCTCTGTTTTGAGTTATATTTTATAGTGGCTGAAAAATAAAATGTTAATCTACAGTGGCTGAGAAATAAAAACCTATTTACTGGATTAAAATACAAATATTTGGATGATTCTAGGATATTACGTTTGAACTCCCAAAAGTAAAATACATCTGAATAAAAAAGCCAAAGAGGTAAATTATCTCTGAGTTGCATCAACGCTCAAGTCTGCCCTTCCTGTGTTCTGGTTTTATGCCCATCTTTGGTTTTGGTCTGCATTGTAGAGATCATAATGACTTTTTACCTATATGCATCCACAGCCTGATACTACCAATCTGTCCTTTCTTGGTCGCAAATCTCTCACACATGGTGGGTAGGGATTATCTCCAATGTTCAGTAATATATCTTACATGAAGCAATGATGAGCTTGAGACACCAGCATCAGATCACTAAACACTTCAGTCTCTAAGTAAGTCAACAAAATATCGTGACAATGAAAGCCAAGAAAAAAGTTGTTCTGTTTATATTTCCAGGAATCTTGGAATCCGTTTCTGTCTGAAGGAATTAGGGAAAAATAAAAAGATTACTATGAGTCTTTCAAAGTTTGATAAGGATTACAGTACTCCCTGTACAAGTCCAGAGAATTCACAGAAAGCTGCAATTATATATGAATAGCTCGACACAAACAAACTACTTACATACAGATATCAGAGAATTACAAAATATTAGCCCCAGTGCCTCTGGGAGGCGTTGAACTCTCTATTCTTTGTGCCTATGGGATTACTACTACTAGTTTAGAAAAAAAATATTTTCCTCATTGTCAGCATTCTGATGCAGCAATCAGTAATGTCACTGAGGACCTTAATCCTCCCCCATTATATGTAATAAACACGAGATTAAATGGGCATTAAACACAATTTCCCATTTCCGTGTTTAATAAATAAACAATCACAGTCCTGCAGTACACTTTGCAGTTTTGTCATGGTCGTTATCACAGCCACATAATCCAAAACACATATTTACCTTCGTTTTATAGGTTTTATAGATTACTGAAAGAGACCTCACTAAGGTGTATTTTTTTTCAATATTTACCTTCAAACAAAGGTTTAAAAAACCCCCCGGTATTCCAAATTACTGGTACTTGATCTAACTGTAGCCCTTTAGATTTTTCAATTAAACACGGGTAATTAGAAAAGAATATGACAGTTCACAAAGGCTCAAGTTACTGTGTTTTTTTATTTTCACAGTCCCAGATAGTGGGAACTCTATTACCTACCTTTCATTCGCCCTTTTACATTTACTTTTCACCCTGAATATATTTGTTTACACATTTTTAGGAGCTGATGGTAGCCCGGATATCTAGTGTATGAAACACGATACTATTGCAGGCAGACTGTTAAATGGCATTTAAAAGAAAGCAACATGGCCTTGCAAACGCAGCAAAGAAGTGATATACTGCAATTGCAACCATCATGACTCCTGAATTTAACAAACGAATGCGACTTCATCAAGATTACATTGAAAGTGCGTTGACAGAAACACCAGTCTTCAGAGGGGGCACGTCGGAGCTTTGTTCCAGTGACATACCGAAGCAGAAGGAAAATAACATCGACTTTCACACATGCAGCTAAAGCACAAACGCCTCCCCACAGGGCATTAGCTAAGACACCGGGATTGCTGAAGGGACGCTGGGAGGGATGATTTCGGAGGGAAGTGGCTCAGCCGAGGGAGTCAGCTCTGCATCCGCGCCTGGGACCATGGGGCAAAACTGTGTTACTTCCTCGGCTTTAATATCAATTTACTGTGAGACCAACCGTCCAAACCACGTTGGTTTTGGCCTGCTCGGTAGGGAACCTTCTAAAGAACAAGATTTCATGCCAGTTGTGCCCATTTAGCCCATGGTATAATTTAAATTTAAAATAAAAACAGAAGATTTCTCTCTGCCGAGGTCTCTGTGGCTTCACGCTGCTAAGTTTCAGCGGTCGCGTTTCCCTCATTTCTACTCCTTCCAATGGGAAACTCCATTAGCTTGTAGGACAGACTCCCTCCTCTCCTCTCGGGCAGAAACGGGGTGCATCGGCAGCAAATTTCGTGAGGAAAAAGTCCTTTTTGGACCGGGAAAAAACACAACGGGTGCGGCGGCGGGCGGTGGAGCAGCGCGCGGCGCACCAATCAGCGCGCGCGGCGCTGCTATAAAAGGGGCAGCGGCGCCGCTGTCTCCATTGTTCGCCCGGATCCCGAAGGAAGCATGGCTGAGACTGCTCCCGTCGCTGCGCCCGATGTCGCCGCCGCCGCCCCGGCTCCGGCTAAGGCTCCTGCTTCCAAGAAGCCGAAGAAAGCGGCGGGCGGTTCCAAAGCCCGCAAGCCCGCGGGGCCCAGCGTCGCCGAGCTCATCACCAAGGCCGTGTCCGCCTCCAAGGAGCGCAAGGGGCTCTCCCTCGCTGCGCTCAAGAAGGCGCTGGCTGCCGGCGGCTACGATGTGGAAAAAAGTAACAGCCGCATCAAGCTGGGAATCAAGAGCCTTGTCAGCAAAGGCATTTTGGTGCAGACCAAGGGCACTGGCGCCTCCGGCTCTTTCCGCCTTAGCAAGAAACCTGGAGAAGTGAAGGAAAAGGCTCCTAAGAAGAAAACAACTGCAGCCAAGCCTAAAAAGCCAGCGACTAAGAAACCTGCCAGCGCCGCCAAGAAGCCCAAGAAGGCAGTGACAGCGAAGAAGAGTCCTAAGAAAGCCAAGAAGCCGGCGGCTAGCGTGGCCAAGAAAGCAGCCAAGAGCCCCAAAAAGGCGACAAAGGCTGCTAAGCCTAAAAAAGTGGCGGCAGTAGCGAAGAGCCCTGCCAAGGCAAAAGCGGTGAAGCCAAAGGCAGCAAAGCCAAAGGCAGCCAAGCCAAAAGCAGCGAAAGTAAAGAAGGCAGCGCCCAAGAAAAAATAAATGGTTCGGAGAAAATCCTGTCTGCCTTGCAGATAAACCCAACGGCTCTTTTAAGAGCCACCCAAGTTTTCACAAAAGGAGCTGAAACTTCTTTTTTACATCTCGGGGGAGGGGGTGGGTGGGTGTGTCTGTGCGCGCACGCGTACAGTTTTAACCTTTTTTTTTTCCGTTGCTCTCGCTTACTTTCAGGTGGACTTGGTAATAAATTTCCGCGCTCTTGTTTTTTACAGGTGCTGGGCAGCACCGCAGCACAGCTGATTTCAAGAAAGTCCCCTGGCGTTGGTGCAAATACCCTCCCGTTATCCGCAAGGAATAGGTGCGAGCCCGGAGTCTCCGTTGGTAGTTAAACAGCGCTCAGGGCGTCCCGGCTCTTGGGAGCAGGGCTGGCAGTGTAGTTTCTCCTATCAGCCTGGAGACGGGAGAGCCGCGTTCTGAAGCACCTCCCTCCGCCCCCGGAGACCGACAGATTTCGAAAAGCCCGCGCTGCGTAAAGATTGGCCGCCCCGCTCTTGGGCTTTTCTACTGCCCAGCAGTTTTCAGGTTAAAAAGGCGTTTCACCTTTTATAAGTTCACTCGGAAGAGGCTTAAGAACTTCCTGGTACGTCTCTTCCCTTCCTCCCTTCCTCTTCGCCTCCCGCTCCCTCACTCCTCCCCCCGGCTTTTCCACTTCCAGTCTAGTTTTCCTCCTTGGGAAACTGTAGGGCGAGGAGGATCTGGGATGCGCGGAGGTTTCGAGCTACCGTGATGCTGCCCGCAGGTCCTCCACTTCGGTGCTGAAACTCCTGCGCCTTGGCGCTGCCGGGCTCGGCTCTTAGCTGGGTGTTCGTTTCGTCAGTGGAGGCGCTCGGAGACGGCGTTGGGCGCGGTAGGAACCCGCGGGGGTCGGAGCCTCCCTCGTGTATCCCCCTAACCCTGAAACGGCCTCGTTTCCCCGATGAACCTGTTTTTCTAAATATGGGTTCTTTCAGCTGGCGTGCAAGCCATATACAGAGTCGAAATATTTGATTTTATATCATATCAATGCAGAGATGGGTTCTAGGTGGAATATCCACAAGGCTAGTGCACTTGCAGTATGCCAGGTTTTCATTTTTATGGAATTCGAACAATAAAAAGCTGGTATTTTCTGTACACGTAACAACCTACAGATGTAGTCACTGGTTTTGTGTTCTCCTGTCTCTGTTTAAAGATACAGTGCACATGCTCTATGAGGAAGGGGCTTATGTGAGTAAGGGGCACTCACAGTCTAGGGGTGGGTGCTTACCATGTTAATGAGCTCAAAGTTCAAGCAAAGTTGTTCTTTGGGTTTGTAGTTTCATTTGTAGTGTTCTCCAGCTCTTGCTTCTCAGGGCATGCCTCTTGGTTCCTGCAGGTTTAGTTATTCCCTCATTTTTCATAAGTGCTTTTATTAGTGCTGTACTAAACTTAGATGAATTTGCCACCTTCTCATGGTACTTTATTCAACAACTCAGCCATACTCTCCCTCCCTTGCTTTTACTGCACTCAAGTGATACCCTTCTCTCCTTTTAGCTCTGTCTGTGTGGAGGGGTGGGAAGCAGTCAGGGAGCAGTGAGGGGGGAGAGGCTGTTTCCTTGCTTTAGTCACCGTGCTGGTACTACTGCTTCCCCAAGGAAGAATGGGGAATTTCAGGAAATTACCTACTTAGCTCTCAGCACAGATGATTGATCTCATGTCCATAGCTGTTAACCTCATATATCTCAAGGGATCACCTGGAAACAGGGTCCCTGCAGTTTGGAAGAGAAATGGTGGGATTTGATTTCACTGGTATTCGTGTTTTCGCAGACTTTACAGCATCCTAAATCTGTACTAAAAGGGGAAGAAATACAAAACAGAGCATCTATTTTGAAGTCTTGTTCCTGAAACACTGTTCTTACTCTTCATTGCCTCTTAGGGTGAATCCAACATTTTGATCCTTGCTTGAGTTTGTGATCTCTTCCTTTACATAACATACACACTGGCATACACACCCCACTTTTTCTGAAATTATCTTGCCATATCCCTTCACCCTGACAACCTGAATTCCTGAGTTCACTTGCCTGGGCCCCGGTTTGGGGTGGAGATGTGCTTCCCAGACTTTCATAGTTAGCATTAGTGGAGGATGTCAGGAATTGCACATGCTAATTCTCAAAGGGTTTCACCCGGCTGGGTGCACTGACCCAAAGAGAGTGGGTCAACTGCAATTTTCCAGCCTGCTACCACTATTTCTGGGAGGGAAACTAGGGGAGAGGTGTTTTGACTGGGCACGGTCAAACTGCATGTATATTGTTGTAGTAAACGTGGTATGCTTAATTTATTCTTAAAGCTGAACTTGAAAAGGTGAAACCATTTATAGTCACATGGGCAAAACCATACCTCACACATCCCTTCTATCTAAATTGAACTCAGCAGGACAGCCCTGGAATAAATACTTCGGCCTCTGGATAAGTCTAGGTAATGACAGAAGTTCAGTCTTAGCCAGTTGCAACTTACCCTCGCTGCTCACTTTGGGGAGGCATCAAGCTGGTCCTTTTCTGACAGGTAAGAGGGAAAACTCAAACTGTTATAACTGTATTTATACAGTTATTTTGTATTTATACAATTATGTTGGAGCAGTTACACACTTCAGATATTGCAGTAGAAGGGATTTAGAAAATTAGTGCATTACCGAACACAAGTGGTGGTGGAGAGCACTGGCCTATGTACAATAATACCTTTACAGGCAAAGTGTATATAGCTGTGGCTTCAGCTGAATAGACTTTATCACTCTTATCTGGAGATAGCTGCTAAATTATGGAAGACGTTGTTCCACACTACAGAAAGGAAGTGTGTATGTATGCAGGAACACTGAACATATTGGCTGTCTAGGCTCCAGTGTCCAGTACAGGAACAAAATTAACATCCAACCAAAAAATCCTGTTAAACTTGTAAAGCTGGTTTGGGCAGTATAGCATAAATACCTATTGGATTTTTTTCTTCCTACTAAAAAAAGGGAGTGTAGCGACTAAACGCAAGAGTGGCCTGAGAAAAATCATACTGCAGGGATAAGTGTAATGTCATTTTTATGCCAATTGCACCGCTGGCATATAAGTCTGTAACCCTGATTCATCATTGCTCATTCTTAACCCCTCAGCATTGTGAATGCCATCTCATCTTATCTATGGGATAGGTGTGCAAAACTCCAGACTGATTCTCCCTTTAGAAATAGCCTATGTTAAATTGCCAAGTAACTGCCATGATGTCCAATTAATGTGTGTCCGTCAGGACCACACATAACCTTCAGCAGGTTTCTCTCTAGCTCTCAAGCAGATTCCTATTCTGATCATAAGAAAAGTTGATATTCTTAGAAAAAATGTTGCTGTCATGCCTCAAATTTCTAATTAACTTGCTGAACTGGGGTTTAAATATGTGATTTATGATTGCAGTGAAGAGGGAACACATCTCACTGTTCTATGACATCTTTTTTGGACATCTGGGCATTAATTTGTTTTATCAAACATGTTAAGATGCCCTATGATACTGGGGAAAGAAGGAAAAGAGATGAGCTCTGTTCAGCATCTTCTAAGATGTGCTATATGGTAAGATGGACAGCTTGAAAAGAACTTGAGATGTGTTCATAACGAAAAATCAAACCTCAAAACAGCTAAGGTGCCCTAATGTTTGATTTTGTTATCTTATAATACTGATGAACTTGTCACACTCCTTATTACAAGGAACATCTTCCTTGCTCATCATGCCTTTATCTCCATACCTCTCCTAGGTGGATGTCTTTTCTATGAACCAATGAGCAGAAACTTCTCCAGACATTTCCTACCACATTCAGTAGTTGCATTAATATCCCAAATTAAGATGCCATCAAGACTTCTGTATTATTTGACAGAACATCTCTATTTATTGAACTACTTATGTCCACTATGTCGTGTGCCCAGACTGTTCCACATTTGCAAAGTACTCAGACTAACAGATATTCCAAGATGAATAGCAGATTCGTTAAATTTCTGCAATGCCCTCACTGCATGAACATTTACTTATACTAGAGACTCTAAAGAATATCATTGTTTGGAAAGCAGGTGATAGGGAAAACAGAGCTTTAGGATCTCAGGCAGTAAACATATTTTGTTTTGTGAATAGTTCTCACCTGGGAATGGGATGGCAACCAGGCTGATTAGGAATTCTGTGCAAAAATTTGACACAGAGAACTGAGCTGCTGATGGTGAAAGAGGAGGTGGTTTAATAGGAGGAAAAAAACCAGGCCAGTATGACAGTGGGCAGTCATACTTTGTCAGAAAACAAAAGGATCTGCTTTGTCATTTTAAATGCTAAGATGCCCCAAAATGAGGAGGAAGGTCAAAAAAGAAGAGTTCAGCATTGCAAATTATTACAATTACATTTCTCTTCCATAGGGTCAACTATTTATTTCACAGATGTACTTACTGAGTGAATGTGCATATCAAAAGTTTACGGTGTTCTATCACTGGAAGTAGAAATGGAGAAAGAAAATAATGTCAAATGAATCAGTGAGTTAGAAAAAGGTCTAAAAATAGCAGAACAGACTGTTAGCAACCTGCCAAGAATTCTGTTTAAGTTAGTCATTCACAGAATAATAAATTTCCTTGGTACCGGTGAGCAGGTCTATGATGGGGTTACAGAATTTTTCATCAGCATTAGTCACCACAAAGCCCAATTGCCTGTCAGATTGCCACAAAACCAGGTAATTTTCATAAATGTATTTCTTTACATCCTTGTTCTCTGTTAGTGAGTTATGTTACTCCTGTGCTTCTTGTGTATCTGTATCTTTTCTGGTCATCATTGTCATGTGAGAGTAAGAGTTTATTCAGCATGGCCTTAGCATGTCTTTGAAAAATTATTAAAAAGTCTCTCTTAGAGGCTCACTTCTTAAAAACACCAAAGCTGAAGTTTTATTTCAAGTGAAAGTACTCCAATAGTTTCCAAAAAACCTTCTGCATTTGATTGAGAAAATTGGAAGCTGGTCTTGCATAAAAGGTTGAACAATGTTAGTTTGTGCACAAAGATGTTTCAAATTTGTGCTGGAAACAGTATTGATAACAAAGGCTTGTTTTTAATATTGCTGAGCAATGCTTACTCAGCATCGAAGCCTTTTCTTCTTTTTGCACCACCCCACCAGTGAGGGGGCTGAGGGTGCACAAGAGGTTGGGAGGGGACACAGCCAGGACAGCTGACCCCAACTGACCAGAGGGATATTCCAGACCATATAGTGTCATGCTCAGGCAGCTAAAGTGGGGAGAAATAAAAGGAAAGAGGGCGTTCAGGGTGATGGCCATTATCTTCCCAAGTCACCATTATGTGTCATGGAGCCCTGCTGTCCTGGAGAACACCTGCCTGGCAATGGGAAGTGAGGAATTAATTCCTTGCTTTGCTTTGCTTGTGTGCATGGCTTTTGCTTTACCTATTAAACTGTCCTTATCTCCAATCACAAGTGTTTACATTTTTCTCATCTCTGGAGGTGAGTGAGTGAGCAGCTGCATGGTGCTTAATTGCTGGCTGGGGTTAACCCATGACGGATGAAAAAAGCAGAGAAAAAGTCCTTCATAGTATCCTGGGCTGAATAAATTGTGAAATGTATGTTTTGTACATTTCAAGACTAAGTTTATAGGTTCTCAAAGAGAAGGAGCAGAGTGGAGAGACAGCTATAGTGTATGGACAGAAGCTTGGGACAACCACTGTGGAGTCTGGAAAAGTAAGAGTACAATATGAATGGCATTTATACCAGACTTGTTCTCTGCTGCTTGCGTGTTGGTACAGATTTGGGCCAGCTTCAGTTCAGGTACAGAACCACTTTTCAACCAGACAGCTTTGACTTAGTAAGGTTACACAACATAGTTTTTCTTCCACAAATTTCTTTTTTACTGTCTAGATCACAATGCACCCAATTTACTGCTGGGCACTGGGAGTTACCAACCACTTTTTTTTCTGTGGGAATTTGAAATCCCTTTTTACCAGAACAGGTTGTCAAAGCACAATAAAGTCATCAGTGTGACTCCTCCTAAGATTC